AATTTCATAAAATATTTTAATATCTCTCGACATCGGCAAAGTTATATCGTAACAGTGACAGACGGTGACCCGTAACACGTTTGGAAATTTTCCAAAAGATCATCTTGGTAATAATAGTAGTAGTAGTAGTAGTGGTAGTAGTAGCGGTAGTAGTAGTGGTAGTAGTAGTGGTAAGTAATAGCAGCAGCAGCAGCAGCAATAGTAATAATTAGTGTTTCTCTAACGTTGTGCACCAAAATATAGTTTTATTGTATTATAGTAGTCTTTTATTGTCCGTTTTTGGCCTTTAATTTTTTAATCAAGTTTTGCTCTCCGTTTCGATTCCATCGTTTCAGAGGTTCATTAAAAAAAAAAAAAAAAATACAATTTATCGAATCGTTCTTCACGCTTTTTCTCCCATTGAGCCATTGAGCCTAAAAATTAGACAATAGAGATTGTAAGAATTTAAGTTGAAACTTGAAACTTGAAACCATCAAAATCATTAAAAATCTAAATTAAAATAGGCCTCGCTGGTATTTCTGCTGTATTAACCGCCGTTCGAGTCCCGGTTAGGTCGTTGAAGAAACATTGTCGAAAAATGGCAAACAGCGCAATTGCGCTCGCCTCGTCCACGTAGCGCGCGTTCATCAAACGTACTCGGACGTGATTTTTCGACGTGAAATTTGAATCGCGTTGCTCTCGCGCCACTCGGACACTCGACGAATATTGCGCATTGTAATTTATCGTTTTTATTCCGAATTTTATTCCAATTACGTTGGACGACAGAGTATCGTCATCCAATTAACTGAAAATCACACGACATACGGTACATAGATAATCCACAAATCGAACATCATCTTGGTCAAACTAACAGATGCGATCATTTTTGACAAAAATAATTCAAATAATTTCCAAATAATTTCCATTGTGCATACCATTACATTTATCCAGCACGATAATAATTTCCTTCGAAATGAGTTATTATTAAATTTCTTCTTTCAAATTTGCTTCGTGTTTGCTTCGCCGTAATTATCTAATTATGAGACACGATACGTGTATCGTGTGTATCATGTATGTACACATGCCATTTTCTTACAAATCAAACAACAGTAAAAATTGATAACTCGCGACTGATTCGAGATTCGAGATTCGAGATTCGAAATGGTGCCTCACAGGGTTTGTATAAATTATTGCTCGCTTACCTGTGATCCTGCGCCTCGCATTTATCACACGTGTATGTATATATACATATATAACGTAACAGCATACGTACTTGCGTATGCGATAAAAATTTTTTTAAATTTCTTCTTCCAATCGTACGAGACATCGACGTGCAACATGTAACTCGTTGCAATTGGAGGTAACGTTACTTTCTTCCAATAAAAAACGAACGTGATAAATTAAACGAACGTCAACTTTACAATAATAACAATTATCAAGTGAAATGGGATTCAAGTAGCAATTGAAAATTAACACGTACTTGAAAATACGTTGATGGTTTCGTTTACGTATCACAGGCATAGAGGCAATAATGAGTTAAGAAAATAGAGGTAAACAAACAAACAAACAAACAAACAGAAAGACAAATGAAAAACGGGGAGAGAATAGAATAAGCGAGTGTTATGCAACAAGCAGCACGATGGCGAACGATCGAATCAATGATTTACCTTTACTTTTAACAAAATTAATCTCGGGCAATGTACCATCTCATCGACACGTATTACACGTACGTGCATCGTAAGGATCGTAGAAAACGAAATAGAATGGAATAAAATTAGGTCGTTGTGTTTCCAAGGAAATCGTGAACGACAAATCGACATTGAATCGATGACGATTATTGTCGCCGTAACTTTACCTGTCACAAACATATTCGCGTGCTGTGTGGAGGAAGAATTATT